CTCTTACTGTTTCACTCATCGTTGGAAGCTCATTATTTGAAAATGTTTCAGCCAGCTGAAAATATTGGATTGTACTGAGGGATCATAATGCACGTGGCTTATCTAATAAATATTAAAGGCTACATTACCATTTAAAACTGAACATTTGGCAGTGTTTCCTGAAAACCCTCTCTTGTCTGATCATTTCCTGATAACATTTCAATTTACAATAATTGACACAGCAGCGGGGAGTAGACTCCATCACAGTAGATGTTGGGTCTGCGCTTGCAGGCCCCGCTGGTTCAGAGATTTTTCACCCATCAACAAAGCAAAAAAAACAGCTCAACCGGTTTTTAACTTGCGGCGCAAGGGAAGCCAATCGGAACCAGGCTCTTGGAGCTAAACGCTCCACCTGTTTCCAGCCAACTCCGACCCCGGCCTCCGCTCAGTCCTTCTTTTGAATGCAGTTAGAGTTTACACAACCACCACCCACTGTAAAACCCATATGGTCATAAAAGGTTAAAGCTGTGTGTGTGTGTGCGTGCGTGCGTGCGTGCGTGCGTATGCGTGTGTGTGCATGTGTGTATGTGTCTCTGTATATGTGACTTCTTGCCACACAATACATGCTTACAACTGTTTAACCACATTTCTTAGTTATCCAAAGGTAATCTCCCCACACCCGTATGTGGCTTAACCTCTTTAATGGCTCACCATACACAAGCATCGGTGAGCCCCTAAATGCCCGGGAGTGAAGATCCTTTGCCAGATAAGGAAACCAGAATCTAACATGGGATGTGCCTGAAAATAGTTTGTTGCTTTATAAGAAAGCCCTCCGTAAAGCCAGAACATTTTACTACTCATCACTGATTGAAGAAAATAAGAACAACCCCAGGTTTCTCTTCAGCACTGTAGCCAGGCTGACAAAAAGTCAGAGCACTGTTGAGCCAACCATCCCTTTAACGTTTACTAGTAATGACTTCATGAACTTCTTCACAAATAAAATTTTAATCATTAGAAACAAAATTACCAATAATGATCCCACAGATGTAATATTATCTACAGCTACTTTTGGTACCATTGATGTTAAGTTAGACTCTTTTTCTCCAATTGATCTTTCTGCGTTAACTTGAGTAATTATTTCCTCCAAACCATCAACGTGTCTTTTAGACCCCATTCCCACACACCTGCTTAAAGAAATCCTGCCATTAATTAATGCTTCAATACTAAGGATGATCAACCTATCTCTAATAATTAATTATGTACCACAGGCTGGACTGGGACAAAAGATTGTCTCGGGCATCAATCTAATAAACTTAAATCTACACCCTCCTTCCTATTCTGGTATTCTAAACAGTACTTAGAAAACAAAAAGACTGCTTGGTCGAGTCAACTATCTACAACACATGGTGGAAACCTGCAATTAAGACAGAGAAGACTGGAGATGAGACTCGGTCATTAAGTAATATTAAAATTAATAAATTACAGATTTAGTGATAGGTTCATAAACTATTTATTTACCACAACAATAAACAGCATGACAGCACGAAATATGTAATATGTAATAATATGTACGTAATAATAAAAAGTGAAAGGAGGCAGAGGAAGCAGGGTGAGAAAGAATAACACTTAATTGACGTTTTGATGGCATTTTAAACACAGTACTGGCACAGTATCTAGAAAATGTGGAAAAATAGTAGCATCATATGAATAATAAAATCTAAGGGGCAGATTGTGATTGACTGAACATATCATAACACATGGAAATTGCACTTAATGGATTTTTCAGATGATGAGAGTACTGGTATATTTACTCTAGAAAATGGTTGAATCATATTCTATATAGTACTTATTTAACATGAACACACTTCAGGCTTCCAAAAATGACTGACAGCATTTGAAACGAAACAATGACAGATTAAGGCTGTAAGAAAACATGTTTAGAAATACGTAATACCCCAATCTCATATTTATTCTATTAAGATGGACAAATTCTAAGTATTTTCTGAACACTTGACTTGTTTGAAGTGAAGATAAATACTAAACCTATTTACTTTACTTTAGGCAATTACAATAAAGTTGAATTTAATCTTAACTGATACATAATTAGGAATGTTTTGATCATTTTTATTTCACTTCACCGCATTACAAAAGCAGCTTTCTTAGCAGAGCGTTGAGCTTGTTCTTTCACAGGCAACCTGAGTGAGGGAGAGGGTCAGCAGATACTTGTATGCCAGCCCAAGGACACAATAGGCATCAGACAGCATGGTGAACCGCTCGAGTATGTTATAGCAGCACAGTGGGCAATTTTTGAAAGAATCACAGCTTTTGGTTACAACTTCACTTTCTTCGTCCCCTTCTTCCGACCTGTCCTTTGCTGTTCTGGTCCTGTAGTCATCTACATGTGATGTCTTAAGCCGTTCCCACTGTCCAGCAAAACTTTTCAGTTCTGACTGAAGGTTGTGTACTATAGATGCTGTCAAATTTGAGGAGACATGTGCTGAGGTTTTGAAGTGCTAAACTTCCTGGGGTCCAACCATGCCAAATCCGCAAGAATAAGGCCATGTGTGACAAATCGTCTGCAGATTGCACAATACCACCAGGATGGTGTTGTGCACTTTCACCTCGTATGATTTCTCAGCATTGATTTGCAACTCATCTTCAGTCATCTAATTTTCTTCTTGGCTGTCTTTTCAGGTAGTGCAGCCTCCACTACCATGTCTGTGTTGTGCCCCCTTGAACAGCTGGCTTTTCTTTTCCCCTCTTCACAATGGCTTCCAGCGTGAGCATTACATCAGCAAAGAGGACATCATCCGGTTTGCCAAAATGTCCAAAGATTTTTTGGAGGGCATCATGCTTGGCCCACTACTGTGTCTCACCTACTGGACTGAGGCATCTGTGTCTTATCTCTTCTTGAGTTTGTTTCTCCCACAGATTAGCCCTATGATAGGAGTCTTTGATGAACACAGCTATGTCATTAAGTAAATTAAAGAGTGATCCACTTTCAGTGACAATTTGTGTTGTGTCAGCTAGCACAAGATTATGTATGTGTGCATAGAACCACACATGCACGTGAGCTGGAGACTGGGCAGTCATTGTGATTTGGCGCTATATAAATAAAATTGAATTGAATTGAATAAGTGCTGAAAAGCCTTTTTACTGGCATATTGGGAGCACCATCTGTTTCATTCTCAATGCACATGACCTTGTCCAGATTCAGACACTCTAAAACTCAAGAAAGCAAATTTACAAACTACTACCTTGTGGATGCTTCGCACCCCACTATGGAGACAAGCATCTCCTGCACAGCCTCAGTAACATACCTGATGATTACTAAACACTGATCATAACCTGTGATGTCTTGAGTTGTGTCTAGCTGAACAGAGAACATCCCAGCTTTCTGGACAACACTGGCCATGCTCTCTTGAATGAGATGGCCAAGTGGATCAATCACTGAGTTGAAAGTTGTTTTGGAAAGTAGGGTGATGAGAGACCCTCTACCTCTTGATCTACTAGACCAGTGGTTCTTAACCTTGTTGGAGGTACCGAACCCCACCAGTTTCATATGCGCATTCACTGAACCCCTCTTTAGTGAAAAATAAAATATGATTTTTTTCAAATTCAAGACACAGATATGTTTTTTACTGGTGCACAAAATGAGCCACGCATGTCATGGCGGAGGCTCTGCCGAACCCCTGAGACCGACTCACCGAACCCCTAGGGTTCGATCGAACCCAGGTTAAGAACCACTGTACTAGACTGATGCAACTTAATGCTTTTTCTCAATGCAGTCATTCAAATGTTCTCCAAGGCACATGTCATACTTTCCTAATAACACAATCAGTTCTAGAAAGTTTCCGTGATCAGTGGTGTTATCACCCAGCTTCATTCTCCACATGCCTATAGCTGAGTCCCCTCTTCCCAAGTACTTTTACCACATCCACTATACACTCCAAAACCTGCCGTCTCTTTTACACTTGTGCTCCGTGAGCTGACATTTGACTGCCAGCAAACAAGCTGCTGTTGTTGCCTTTTGAGCACCTTAACAAAAAAGTTTCAGCACAGGTCTGGTGTGCAGTTCTCTTTTCATGCTCCTCCGTGCGCAGATGTACATGTCACCAATCACTCATGCCTGTTATAAATGTGCTGGTGTCAGTCCGCCTTGCAAATGCCAGACACACAAAGCAGAACAAAAAAAAAAAGCATTCTTTGCAATAAGTAAGCCACTTCCTGTTGCACTGTAAAATCTAATTAGTTCACAGAATTCAAAAAAAACTATGCAAACTCATTGCCTCAAAAAATTTTAATAAAGTTTACTTAAGATGACTAAGTTAAGGCAACTTATTCACTTTGAGTACGGAGTAAAAACCTATTTAGTTTCCAGAACTCAAAAAGAATATGCAAACTCGTTGCCTCAAAAAAGTAAAGCTTACTTAAGATGACCGTTAGGACAACTTATTTATTGCAAGTATGCAGTATTAGGAATAGCTTGATATTTCTGACTGTACAATACTAATTGTTTACCTACTGACAAACATTTCAAGTTCAACTAAATGAAAAAACAATTTGTGGTAACCTGAATATGATTAAAAATAATTAACAACACTTTTTGTAATGATGTTCAAATACTCCGAACTTTTATTTTCAAATGCAAAAAAAGTATAACAGCCAACATACTGCACAGGACTCCAATTTAAACAATCCCAGGCTCCCTCCCCACCGGAGAGGTGACATTCAATGTCCCAATTGTCAGTCTGGATAGCCCTGACCCCCACCCAACACAAAATAAAGTCATGAAAGGATCATTTTAAAAAGGGCTATGGCCAATAGCCATAAAAAATAGGCAAAAAATTTTGTCTGGGGTCTTATCTCACTTTTTTATTTCAAACACTCAACAGAAAATTTCACAGACATATTTTTATATAAGGTTTTTAAGACTGTGGTTTTAATATTTCAGTAAAATGAGCCCAGCGGTAGGGATGGGTATCGTTTAGGTTTTATCCGATGCCGGTGCCAAATCGGTACTTTTGAAATGGTGCCAGTGCTTAAACGGTGCTCGAACCAGTGCTCGAACCGGTGCTCAAAGAATGGAGAACACAAACTTTGTCCAAAAACCTCTCAAGTTTTTCTTTTTAGCAGTCTCTTTTTTTCTGCAAAATGATAAGAACCATCCAACCTCACGCACGAGGCGATCCGCGCTAACTCACTAATAGAGATTTACCACACCCGCAGTAGATGTGCTCGGTGTGAGGTCTTGCAGCAAGCTATCAAATACGGTGCATTTCTCAGCTTCTAAAAAAATGCTGTAGTGTGTGTGTGTGTGTACTGTGTCGCCAGGTGTTTCATCAGATTTGAGGTGTTACCTCCTTTGCACAGTATCACCTTAACCTCTTGAGCCCCAAAGGGGTTTCTGAGCTTACTGCTCGAAAATGCAATGCCCATATTTAATTGATTATTTCTCTGCAATTACAAACTCTGTGCTTACAATCTTGGTATCAACATAAAGCTAACACTTGTTAAAAAACTTGTTAAAAAAGAGACTTTTCCGTTTGATTACATTTTGTATGATGGATTATGCAGAAAAAGTAGAATTGGGCTGAAGGATCTATTGCTTTATTACCTATTCAGGTTGTAAATTGTGTTTTTAAAAAGTAACTAAGTAACTAAGTAATTAATTACTTTTGAAAATAAGTAATCAGTAAAGTAACAGCATTACTTTTTTGGAGAAGTAATCAGTAATTAGTTATTGATTACTTTTTTCAAGTACCTTGACCAACACTGCTCATGACACACCTTAAACATCATGTGATCCACTCTCAGTCTGCTCTTTCATTCATGACTTCAACATGTTGAAATGAGCTTTGACGAAACATTCAGTGAAATAAAGCTTTCATCACATGATTCATGTGAGCACCAGATGAACTCTACAAAGACTTAATTGATTTATCTTTTGTTTTAGATCAACTTTTATCACTTAGAGCTATATTAAGTGCGTTTTTTTCTAACTTCTCACTCATTAACATCTCACATGATTTCAGATCACTGCTGTTCCCCACCTGCCCTGTAGGTGGTATCAGTGTGCCTCAAACCATTTACAGATGATTATGTGTAGTTCACAGTTCATATTTAAATAGAAGATGTGGGACGTTGAAGCAACACGTCCATCCAATCATGAACATGTAAGAAATGAAAATAAAGGTTTGCTTCATGTCTGTAATATGTAGACAATATTCTCAGTATAGCAGTTTGGGTCAAAGTGCAGATGTTCCAGATGTTCTGCAGTCTCTCTGGGTTTCATGTTAACATGTTGATTTTGTACCAAAGTGAAACTTTTTTTTTCATTCACAGCTGGTTTCACAGGAGGTCAAGGCGTCAAACAAACAGCTTTAACTGCACAATGACACACTCACTTAAATCATCTACAGACAAACTTGTGTGTTTGATTTATGAATAAATAATAAAGATGTGTTCTACAGCTGTCCATAAAGTAGCTTCTCACACAAACTTTGACACGTCATTGCTTTAACTCATGAAAAGCTGAATAATAAAGAGCTGTGACTGCTATGAACTGCTTATGATGACTCCATTAAGCTCTCAGCTGAAGTTTCATTCATTTATTTTAACATTTATGTCGCCTTTTGAAAGTCTGTGTGAGGATTTTAATGACAGACATTAAAGGAGCTTCTTTGATTAGAACCAAATTCATGTTGATTTTTAGCCTTATAATCATAAAACTGGAGACTAATGAAAAGTATAATAGTAAAAAAAAAAAAAAGCCTTTATTATTTGAGCAATGCCTGAATCTGCTCTAAGAAAGAAACAGCACAGAGTTGTCGATGGCATTTTGAGATTAACTGAATTTTTTCTAAGTGATCTTATTGTGTAAATCTACTCACCCCCCTCCCCCCTGTCCTGCTTCCGGTGGAGTCCCGCCTCCTGCCAGGAAGCAGCTCACCTGTTTTTTCGTGTTTAATGTCCAGGTGTGGAGCTCGTTGTTGGTGTGTGAAGAAACTGTAAGTTTGCTTTGTTTCCTCCTTTAACAGTTTGTCTTTAGGAACTTTACTTTTTGTTCAGCTCATGTTTGATTTCCGGTCTCTCCGTTAAAGTCAGTGTGTAATGTTTTCCTGGCTAACATCAGCTGTGTGCAGTTTAGTTCCTGCACAAACAGCACAAATCAGCCGCTCCATAGTTCACGGTAACTGACTCACAGCTGGACCAATGAGGCCGAGTGTGTCCGCCACTCTGAGCTACGTTCGTGTTTGTGTACTTATAGTTTGTACCTTGTGAGTTCACTCAGAGTCCGCAGACCCCGAGATCGCAGCCTACGTGATGACGTCACAGCTCAGCTGCAGTGTTTAAGGCCTTTACCTCCTCTACTGTCACTGTGATTAATATTTACACAGGAGAGACCTGCAGAGCGCTAACGCTAAGCTAATGATAAGAGCTCTTAAAGACACGAGGGAAATAAACATTATTAAAAGGAAAACATAGATTTTGAGCACTTCAACAAAAAAAAAAATCTGTCAATAAAAAAAGAGCCTTAATGACCATCAGTCTCCTGTTTAGCTCTAGCTAGCTTTATGATTTTTTAGTAGCTTTTCCTGATATCTGGAGGTCTGTATGATCTGTTTCACAGAAAGTAGAACACATTTCTACATAATAAAGTCAGAGCTTTAAGTTCATCCTTGTTTCCTCAGACTGTTTGAATTCATTGTGTCAGAGAAACTTTAGACTATTCAGCAGAGCTGATGTGGAGCTGAGATCTGCATTAACATGAATGTTACATGTACGGAGTTAACATGTTAAACTACGACAGTCACAGAAATCATGTGTGAACATCATGTGATCCTAAAGTGTCTGCATGGCCATAAAAGAGCTTTTAATATAGTTTTATACTGAGGTTGGAGTTTGCAGAGAGCTGACTGCATCTGACTCAGAGCTGTTCCTAATGTTCTGCAGGTAAGATCAGGTTTCTCTGATCCCTGATGTGGACCATGTGACCTGGTTTTTAGGTTACATGACAGGTCAGAGGTCAGCGACTGTAACTCAGTTACTTCTGTTAATGTGAACTCACTGAGTGTTTGTGGTTTACCTCTCAGACTGACTGAAACCTGCAAGAAGATGATGATGGAGGAAGAGGAGGACAGAGCAGAGTCTGCAGGAGCCAGCTGTCCATCTATGAGGAGTGACAGGTCCAAACCTCAACCTCCAGACTTCAGTGCTGAACCTGGACCAACTAGGTCAGAGACCTGTCATGAGCTCCTTTAGATGTTTGTGTTTTCCTGGATAAATATAACCTGAAACATTCTTAGATTTTTACAAAGATTCATTAAAAAGAAAACAATGAAACAACAAAGGTAAAAATATTAGACACAGTCGTTTGTTGATTGATTTCCCCACAGAGTGATGCTCATATCTGTGGGGAAAGTGTGTACTGAGTGGGTTCATGTTTGTCTTTAAAGAACAGAGCTGCTCTGTCTCTGATTCTCATGTCTTTGTGTCTGATCTGTTAAAGAGGTCACAAAGAGACCCAGCAGCTAAAGCCTGGATCATACTGGCTACTGTTAATGAGACTCCATCAGGACAACACTGTATGCTCAGATTTAATCACAGGGAACAAAACCATATTTTATCTTCAGATTGTCACCTTTGGAGTGGAGGATGCAGATTTCCATAGAGAATAAATGTTATTGTTTTTCAGCTGTGAAAAAATAATCTAATTTTGTGAACTTAAGAATTTATCATCCTGGAAAAAATATGGTGACAACAACACAACATTTCCACTGTATTCATAGAATGAATGTAAAACTTTCAAATATTCATTAAATATGCAAAGTGTTTCCAAACAATTAGAGAGGGCAGATGTGAAGCACTGTGAATTTTGATAAAATTACACATCAGTTATTAATCTGTACTACACTAATCTACCAAGGGTTGGGGTTTCTATTTGTTTTGCATATTTCTCATAATTGCATGTTATAGATCATCAAACAAATTTTAATATTAGAGAAAGAGATGCTGATTAAATACAAAAAGAGGTTTGTAAATGATGATTTCCTTTTTTTTAAGAGGGAAAAAAGCTAACCAAACCTACCCTGCGCCTTTACATAATTGGCTCTGTCACACATGGCAACAAGAACTACATTTGCAATAAATTTCAATGAGTCTTTCACATAGAGACTTTTGCCCCTATATGAAAAATTAATTGCCCTCAACTGCAGTTTTGGAAAGCTTGAGTCAGTATTACTACCCACACACAAACAAAAAGCAACATGTAACAAATGATCAAAAAGAAATTAGGACGGGGCAAATTCTGTTTCACAGCACTTCTGATGTTTTAGTCGTGACTTGGTTTGAAACTAATCTTGAGTCGAGTGCCTCTTCTTTTCTTTATCTGTTATGGCTGCCATAATTGTATCCAATTCAAAGGTAAAGCTTGGACTTCATATCTTATGATACACTCAATCTTAGTGCATTATCTCAGTTACAACCTCTTTTCTCAGTTTGTGTAAACAGACTTCGTTTCCAAGTTAAACTGTACCAGCGTCATCATCACTGCTACTGTTGTGATCAGTGTTTTTGTTTACAACTGGGGGACTTTTTATTCACACACAGCTCCAAAATACGTTTGTACTGCAGGTCTGTTTTTAGTCACAGTTAAGCCCCTGTGTTAAATGTCCAGTAGGGTGCCTTTTTCTGTTTTAACAACTGGGACAAAAGATGTCAGAAACTGCATCAGAGCAGTATAAGTCATGTTTTACTTGAAACAACACATTTCAACTGGGACTGTGTTTCATAAGATCACTGTTTGAAAGACTGTTCCACACTAAACAGATAAAGATTTATATTAAAACTAATTCCTCACTCGCCTTTGCGGACCTTCTCCCTCCACGTCTTCTCAAGGTCTTCTCTCAGCCCTTGCTACTTCTGCAGCTTCTCGTGTTCCTTCTTTCTGCCACAGCAAAGAAGATGGTACTCTCAACAACAGACTGATAAAACAAAGAGCAGCCTGCTGCATACATTGATGAAACTGAGCCTTCATAGCTTTTTTGTAGGCATTGTCTGTGTTGGCAGACCACTCCAGCTTGCGATTCAGTTGAACTCCAAGATATTTGTAGGATGTGACTATTTCAACGTCAGTCCCACCAATGCAGACAGAGGGGGGTCGGGATCTGTTTCTCCTGAAGTCCACCACCAGCTCCTTTCTTTGGCCACATTCTGCTGCAGGTGTTTCTCCTCACACCACGAAGCGACCAATCAGTCCACTGTACTCCTCTTCTCGTCCCATTTCCATGGTTTTAATAATGGCTGTGTCATCAGAGAATTTCTGGAGGAGACAAGTTTCTGTGATGTACTTGAAGTTGGCCGTATAGATGGTGAAGAGGAAAGGGGATAGCGCAGTTCTATGGAGTGATCCTATGTTGTTGTTCAGGCTCTCTGACCACAGCTCTGCATTCTCAGAAACTGTGGTCAATCCCGTCAGGCAGTCACTGATCCACTGGACCAGTGGAACCTCCGCCTGCATGTCCTCCAACTTCTCCCTCAGCAGCCTGGGGTGGATCATATTAAAGGGGCTAAGTGTTAGTCACAACCAATTGTCTTCTTTTAACCATAAGAATGACTACTATTCTAAAAGCAAGCACACAAAGAACCAATGAGAGTGAAGAACAGGATAAAGAGCTCCTGTGGTTTAGTCCCATATCTTTAAATAGAAAGAAACAACACCAGCAATATACTGCTGCTCAAGCAGATTCAAGCAGTGCGCTCACATTAGAGCAGCTGATGAGAGAATCTGTGTATATGATAAAACGGCTCATCACTCGCTCCTGCACAGATGGATCTCCAGATGTCCATTTGGCTGAAGTCGGTAAAGAAACTGTGGCCCACGTAGTTCACACGGTACAGCCTCAGATTGGAATGAGCTCCCCAAATCACTGCAGCACCTTCAGCTGGTACTCAGTCTGATGTCTCTGTTCCTCAGTCTTGGAGCCCCTACCGGTCTTTCTACACCACCATGGTCTTCTCAATCGCCTTTTATTTGTCCTCATTGTTCATCGGGTGTGTGGTGTTGTTCCAACAATACAGCGCTGATGTTACTGCCATAAATGCACAAAAAGTACAGCGTTGGTCTTTCTTTGGCTGGAAACCATCCCTTACTGATCCAGAACAGAGTTTGATCACTCCTAGTAGGACAGGAAACACACTGATAAAAGCCTCAAAGTGTCTTTGTAAACAGACATGATTCAAATAAGCCAGTATGAGTTTGGTTCCTGCAGTTTGTGCATCATAAACAGTGCTGAAGCAGAGGCAGTGTGTGCCTGCAGGTTAATGTACACTGCTGTTATAAGAGCTGTGGAAATTCAGGAAAAAAGGATGTAACAATACTGGTGACAGTCCCAGGACAGTCACAGAGTTACAGCATCATTCATGAACATAAAGACAGAAAGGTCATCCAAAGGTTTGCTGAACAGAAGATGATCATCAGTGACGCTATCTTTAAAATACTCTCGTTAGAAAAGTAAAACTTTAATGGTTTTTCTCTTGTTGTGTTTGTTTGAAGCTGCTTCCCGTTGGCTTCAGCTGTTTGAAGTTACCGTTTTCTAAACTTCTACATTCTGAAACTTCTTCAGTTATGAACAGATAATGAAGCACTGAATGATTTCAAGCTCACACTTTGTCTAATAAACGTACATATTTTATTCTTTATACAGATTGAGGATCTGTGGTTTGTCAGAGATGAGCTGTGATTATCTGGCAGCAGCACTGAAGTCCAACCTCTCCCATCTGAGAGAGCTGGACCTGAGCCTGAACGACCTGCAGGATTCAGGAGTGAAGCAGCTTTGTGGTTTTCTGGAAAGTCCAGGATGTGGACTTGAAATTCTGAGGTCAGTCACCATGTTTTAGTTGTTCTGAGATGTATATGATGTGAAAGTTGTGCTGACACTAAACTGCAGACATCAGGCTGATATTATACTAGCAGGAGTATATATTGGAGGATCTTCATGGTAAAGTCTGTTTTCTTCTTCTCTGATTTAGTCTATTGACTGTAGCAGAAAAATATTCACATTTAAACAGTGATACTCAACGTATGGCCCGTGGCCCACACATGGCCTGCCGACCTTTCCTAATTCAGAGAGAGGGAACCCCGTATAACTGTGTAGCATTCTTATTCACAGGTCTAAGTATCAGACACAAAAATGAATAACCCACAACTGACTCTCTTTAGCAGGTCAAAGGTCACAGCACAAAGCATCTGTGAAATAATTCCTGGAGCAGGAATTATTGCACATTTACAAACTGACACTGCTGCACGGCATGATGGGTAATGCTACCCGGTCAGGTAGTCAGATGCTTTCATGTAAGCTGTAGGCTGAGACATTTCCTAATGACATCACACTGCGTTTTGGTGAATATGAAGTTTACTTGGAATTTTTTTCCAGCTTTGACTGCAACAGTGTGAAATCAGTGATCCAGCAACAGTTAAAAAACACAAGCATTTATTTTCATAGCTTTTTATTAGAAACACTTTTAAACTTCTACTTTTTAATATCCCAGGAAGCACAAGTAAGCATGCAGTCTGAAATTGCAGTGCTCTGTGACGAGAATAAGGCAATAATAACAATAATCAGCTCATATTAGATAATAAGCTATTTTCCAGGAAGTACCTTCCAGTTGCAGATGAGCTGATCAGAGTCAGGTCAATCAGCTCTGAGCATGCTCAGTCTGAGTCACGAAGTCCGACACTATGATTCACAATGGCAACGGGTAAATAAATAGCAAAAGCTCTGTGTGAATCCAGAGGAGCAGGAATATGAAGACGTGTCAGTGCTGAGCGTGATATAAAAACAGGAGGAAGTAGAGTTTGAATCAGTGTGGGACACTCTGTCATCATCATAGACTCAATAAAGTTTATACAAAATCCATCATTTATTATAATGTCTATGCTTATGATTGAGCAGCTTGAACTTTGATCAGATGAATCGATCAGTGTGATTGATTTTAATCAAACAATGACTGATCACTGATCAGTGTGCAACACAGTCAATGTTTGCAGTGCAGGAAACTTCCAATCTGATATCAACACTATCCAAAGAGTCTCAGAGTTACAAAGATGGAGGTCATAGATTTTATTCTGATCTGATGGTAAATCTGTGATGTCATTGCCGTCCCCATCCTGATATATTGATGACTGATTGGCTGTAAAAGCTTTATGTTTAGCAAACCAATGTTTAACTGGGATTTCTGATTTTGTACCAAGGTAAATTTGTGCAGATGTACACTCTCCTCTGAGCTTTGACTTTATGAATGAGGAAATGACTCAGTGTCAGTCAGCTGTAGATCAGTGTACAAGCTTAATCATGAAAGAAAGAACAGCTAACAGATGTGTGCTCCTCAAATCTGCATGAATCATGATCATGTGTTTGAGTGAATCTGTGACTGAACTGTAATAATGTTAAAAAGTAAATATGAGGAGGACATGAATGAAAACAAAGTGTGATGAATGATAAGAAGAAGCTGACACTCAGCTGTCATACTGCTAATGTTTCTCAGGACCTGCTGTACATGTTGCATTAACAGTAAACATACTGGAAATCTTTTGTGGAGCTGAGCCCAAGGATTTCTGTTGATCAACAATAATCTGATGCAGTTTGATTACAACCATGTTTAATTATGTGTTGATGTAGCTTGCCATCACCAGTGTGTGAATGTATGTGTGGATGACTGAATGTAGTGTAAAGCGCTATACAAATACAGGCCATTTACCATTTATATATAGAAGTGATTCAATTCAATTTTATTTATATAGCGGCAAATCACAACAAAAGTCGCCTCAAGGCGCTTTATATTGTACAGCAGATCGCACAATAATAGATAGAGAGAAAAACCCAAAAATCATATGACCCCCTATGAGCAAGCACTTTGG